TATCTCAAAATCCACTCTTTGTTTCTAGCTGCAGCAGCCAGCTTAGTGACAAGCTGGTGAAGGTGGTGAAACATCGGGCAGCTAAAGTCAAAATTTTGGTGGAAAGCGACCAGAGCAGAAAAGAGAGTGAAAATTTGATTCCAAATGGATTGTAATATTGCTCCATGTCTGACGTTTGTGTCAATAAGCAGCTGTTTGCTGACCTCACAACTTCATAAAGTGATACGAAGTCAGATATTGTGTTTTCAGTTTGTTCTGCTGCCACCAACTGACCCCAAAAAAACCCCCCAAAAAAACTGAGATAGCTGTAAAGACTGAAATATCATACGGAGAAGTCGGCGTGCTCTCTGCTTTGTGTTTGCCTTGGTCACTCTCCCATGGACACTGGATGGTTGTGTCACACAATCAAGCCTCGACTCTCAAACCAGGTGATGACAGCATTATTGTAGCTGGGTCCCTGTAGGGTTAAGGTCAGTGTGTTAAAACATTATATAGGCCCTGACGGTCGAGACGTGAGTAACAACTCTTTTCACCTGCCCTGCTCGCCACAGTCTCTGGAACCAGCGAGACTCCCATGGATGTGTGAGGTCTTTGTCAAGCTCTTCATTTGTCTCCCTCACCGCTGATAGTGGAATACAGTAAATATTTGAGAGAGTTATTGCTGGGATTGGATTAATTACATGCAGTCTTGAGTTTCTGCAATGCATCTTTTGTTCCCGGAGAAGTCACACAACATTAACAAGCTGTCAAGCTGTGAACTGACATGGTTTGTCTCAGTGACTTGTTGTTGGTTTGCCTAACATTCTGTGTGTGTGAGTGTGTGAGTGTGTGTGTGTGTGTGAGTGTGTGAGTGTGTGTGTGTGTGTGTGTGTGTGTGTGTTGTGTGTGTGTGTGTGTGTGTGTGAATATGCCTCTGTAGAAGCATGCCGGTTGCAACATTTATGACAGCACACACTCAAACCTGTGAATTTTCTTGTCTCAGAAAGCTGAGTGTGTATGTGTAAAAGATGAGGTGGGATAAGAGAGGGAGAAGGTGACAGGTAAACAGCATGAGAGAAGGAAGAGGGGGAGTAATGGAGCTTGACTAAACCAAGCGCTTATACATAAATTGACATGTGCAATTAGGGAGATGTACACAGTCCCCCTGGTCTGTTTAAGATCTGGAATAGTTTCCTAACAGCTTCAAGATGCCCTGTTTTGGCTTTGGTTTCAAATCTAAATCGGGTTTGACCTTGTTGAATAATGGTGCTGGTGAAGTTCTCTCTGTACTCTTTGGCCGAAGTCCAACTCCACACCATACATGACGGCAAACACTGAACTAGGTTCGGCCTCACTGGAATCTGATGAATTGTGACCTGAACTTGAATTCCTCGCACTGGATTTTGCAAGGCGGTCAAAAACACTTTTGGTTTTGGTTTCCTGTTTATATGGTGTATAAAGGTGAAGGGGGGCAGGCATTAAAACTGGAGGAGCTGAGGGTTTAGTTGGCATACTAGACCTGGAACGTGTCATAATGAAATGCTTTGGCCAGTTCTTGCTGTTTCTCCTCTTTATTTCTTCTCCAGCTTTTTCTTTCTGCTTTTGTTTCTGCCTTTTCTTTGACGCATGACCTCTTCGTTCACGAAGCCAATACAGCAACCGTCCAACCTTTATTAGTGGCTTTTAGCACTTCACACAGTGGGGATTGGCAGACTGGACGATAGGGAGTGGCATCCAATGGGTTAAAGACAGCTGCCAACATCTGTAGCTGTGGTTAGCTTTTAATTGTGAGGCCCAGCGAGTAAGCGAGCAGCATGGTGGAGAGGGGGCTGGCAGGCCGCATATTTCAGCCCAGCGTTCACAGAGCAGCTTTCCGGCCGGCCATGTGGACTCAATGATGGCGTCCAGGGGTGTGCTGTGCTCCTATGAAATATTAAATCTGCTTGGCCCCCAAGTGCAGACAGACCACCTGCAAGCAAGCGTGGCGTGCGGCGAGCCCGGAGATCAGATGTCCCTCAGAACACACATGCACAAACACACACATGTACGCATGAGAAAAAAATATGATCGCCAATGTCCCCGCACAGGATAAACCTGTAGGCCTGCACATGCTTACACTAATGGACATAAACACATACAACAAAAAACACTGTGAACATGGAAACACTCAAACTGATGTGGGAGGCGGGGATGTCTACAAAAATGTATTTCCTGCTTGTACTACAGAGCATTTCTACAGATTGCAGAAGGATTTTCATTGAAAATCTTTATGTGCAATGATTCTCTGATAGCTTTCTGTATAAGGCCGTACTGAAATGGAAAAGTTAGATTCACCTTTGCAGCTCCACAGAACAAAGAATACATGTTACACTCCTTCTTGAAACAATCAGCGAAAGCAGAGAACCGCTATGATGAAGAGGGAGAACAAAAGAAAGAAAAAAGTTCACAGAAGAAAAAGCCACTACTTGCAACTGTCAGGGTCCAAAAAGAAACTTAAGCCTACTTCGAAAAGGAGCCAAGAGGACAACGGGTGCTTGTCGACTGCCGTCCCCTTCAGGGCCTCGTTCATTTACACGTTGTGCAGTCGATCCTCGGCCTCCCCTCTGCTCCCCCGAGGCATCCCTGCCTGCCCAGATGTGCAGCTGTTTATGTGGAGCAGCGATAAAAGCAGCTGGCCTGCACATCTGCAAAGTGAACAGAGGGGGTCGCCATTTTCTGGACATACTGACTGAGATAATCTGATTTCACTTACAACAGGTTCAGTTTATTAACTTAATGCCTAGCTGTTTAACCATTTAAAGCAAAAGGACACTGTGTGTTATTATTATTATGTTGTTGCAAGTGGTGTTTCTAGGGATTTTTTATGAAAGTTTGTGTGTTCTTTGGATTCCTTGATGAGCTGGGGTGTCATGATGAATGAAGAAGAAACCACAAAACAGGATGGACATTATATATTCAGCATCATTTTATAGACTGACACACAGCTTTAAGGTGTAATTAGGAAGATGGAAAGATCGATGCATCATGTTCAAGCAGGGAGATAAACAAGTCCCACTTACATTATAAATCCACCATGCATTACAATTACAAGTTACAATTTTTATTATAGCTGTAGTTAAAGAGAATACTACAAATTAATTTTAATTTTAATTGGTTAATGTAGTAAATGTTAATCGAACCTCCCTAACAGCTCATGTAGGGCTCTGCAGCCTCCAGTCAATTTCAAAGACACGAGCGACATCCTGTGGTCATTATGTGTCAATGGCTCTTTCAAAATAAATGTTTCTGGTTTTTATTCCCTGTTATTTTTCCATTTCTTGCTAGGGGGTGCCAAAGTCCGACACAGCTGCACATGCGGTTTGCAAGGTTACAGTACAGTAAATGCTTGAAAAACAAAGGGATTAATAGTCCCTTATAATGTCTTAGATTTTTGTCATTATAAGCTTCCATAGCTTCCATTCCATAGGCTTGCAGCAGTTCATGCCAGGCTGACAAGTTTTGCCAAAAACTGCAGAGCAGCAGCTCATGACATCATCACGTCATGATGTGACGATGGCACTGGCTGAGTCACAAAGCTATTGCTAAACAAAACCCCTATGACACATTACGCATAAATACTATCAGTGCTCCTGCAGAAAAACCACAACTTGCACATAATACGCTGCACATCGCTGCTAAATACTGTTAATTTCAGCCCCAGTTTATCCAGGATTCTGAATCTTGAACATCACCACCTGATTGAAGCATTCGCACCTAACTTCAGCGTAGACATATTTTGTTGCTGAGTGGGAAATGTGGGATCTGGCCTAGAATTAAAAAAAAAAAAAAAAATCCTACATTTGAACAAAAAGCATGAGTTTTAATCACTGGCTCATCAGCTGGCTGCTGCTGGTTAAGAGGCTTTGAGGACACTCTTGTGGAGTATTTCAAAATCAGACACACAGGGTGTTTATTTCCTCACTGTTTGCTCTATGCCAGGCATGCATGCCATCTGCTACCACCCAAGAGCTTTTAATACATTCATTCATTAGATTCACCGAAGCTGTCAGTTGCATGATAAAGTGCTGTTTATGCCACCACAAAGAAAATGAGGGAATATTAACATTTACTCTTAATAAAATGCTTTTTTTGTGCAAATGATATATTCGCTGTTATGTCCATTGTTGTGAATGAGTCAATAAGCACTCATCCTTAATAAGTCACAAGGTGGCAGTAGAGGCCTTCTGGCATTTTACCATTTACCTTAAAACTGCAGAGCGCCCTGAGCACCTGCTTTCTCTGAGCCAAATGAACAGTGCACTGTGTGCAGGGACAAAGACAACTGGGCACTTTATGAGGCGTGAAGGTCAACTATGTGCCAGAAGTCCTGACCACAACATAAATATGTTGAAGTCATCAAAAATTCAGGCTTACCACACTTCTACACAATTTTGACATTCATGAAACGATCAGATTTGAGCAGTTAGCAGTTTGTATCAGACATGTGCTGTGCATGCTTTGTTCCAGCTTTGTTTTATGTGGCATATCAAAAAAAGCAAAACCCTGCAGGAGGGCCATTCTTTATTTCTGGAATACGCAGACATTGACTTGCCCTTGGAATATATTTGTGAATGAGCCCAAGCAGAGGAGCTCAGTCTCCTCCTCCCTCTCCTCATTTGGATAAATGTCACGGATTAGCTAACGGGCGAATCAGGGTGTTTTTTGTCATTCAAGAGGAGGTAAGACTGTCATTTTGTTGCCTTGGAGACTACAAATCAATAGCATCATGCAGTATCTTCTTGTCCATTCCCAATGAGAAGGTTCAACCGCTGCTGTCGTCATCAGGGTTGGGGAGGTTGGAGGGGTGGGGGGTGGGGGGGTTAGGAGGAGGGCCGAGTCACCTGTGCTCTGATTGGCTCCTGCCGATAATGAGCTGCCATTGAGGATTTCTGGCCCGGTCAGAGAGGAGGTGTGTCTCCTGGCTGCACAAGCACACGCCTCTCGCATAAATACTCAACACAACTGTGGTGCTGATCAGACAGACGCACCAATTTAAAGAGCTGCGTTTTACCTCCCTGGTCGTTAGGCTTGCCATTGTTACTTTCGTTTTGCGCGAGCGTCCTGTGCAGCCTTGGAGGGTTAAGGAAGAAAGAAAGAAAGAAAGAAAGAAAAAAAGAAACAGACAGCAAAAGTAGAGAGAAGTCAGAGGCTGTAATTAGATTCCCTAATCAGCAGAATTGGCAGCAGGTGTGAATTCATGTCTGTATTTTCCCCGCAGATATACTGGTGAGTACTGCATCTTTCCCACTTTCACTTGCTCACGTCTTCGTTGATGGTTTTTTTTTTTTTTTTTTTTTTTTTTTGAGGCTGCTCTCTCGCTTGATTAGAAAAGACTAAATCAAGTATCTAACAGTAGATGTGGTGGTTTTCCATCTGACAGGTAAGAACATTGAAGTATATAGTGGTGGTGTGTTTTGGTTGGTGATTTCCCTTTCCGAAGCAGCCACCTTTTTGTTGCTACACCCACTCATGTTTCCTTTGAGATTTTTTATGGGGTGTTGCCCCTGAAATTGAAAATGTCACAGCACACGGATTGGAAAAAAAACAACACATTTCTGGGTCTTGTGTGTGTGTGTGTGTGTGTGTGTGTGTGTGTGTGTGTGTGTGTGTGTGTGTGTGTGTGTGTGTGTGTGTGTGTGTGTGTGTGTGTGTGTGTGATTTTATTTTTTAGCTAATTTTTTTTTTGACAGGCACCAGCTTGATAAATGTTTTGTGCTTGTGCCAATTCAGAAAGGTCACAGTGGTCACAGCTTTATTTCAGCCTATTTCTATTTAGAGATGAAATGCGCTTTATTCCCCTTTTCAAGATCCTGTTTTTTTTTTTTTTTTTTAATAGCAAGCACACAGACTTACTTTGCTTTGTTCTTAAACATTTTGAGTAATGCACTGCTTTCATCCTTCAGTCTTTAGTGCTGCAGGTGCAGTGCAACTGGAGAAGGATGGCTGCACTCTGCTCCTATCTATTACTGTAGTGTCATTTTTATCATAATTACCTAACTCCTTGATGTACTTGACACAGGCCTAGTGAGTGCATCTTTGTTCATTTGAAGCCTTATCTGTCGACTGCTTTCCTGTCTGTAGAGAGGATATGCAAGTCGTTTTGAAACATTGTTTTTTCGCGAGCACTGTTCAAACCTCAGCAGGCTTCAAGCTGTGTCTACCAGGAAGTTCAGAATCGACCTCTTTACTGTAACCACACTTTGCCTCCTGTTCTTACTTACACTAGACCTATGCTTCTCCCTTCTGTAAGGCTGCTTCTTTGAGAGTTCCAAAAATATATAGTTTCGCTTTTCTTCAGCGTTACTTTAAAAAAAAAAATATATATATTTCAAAGGTATGATTAGAAAGTCCCATTTTTGCTGCATTTGATTTGGAGCTGCATGCTGCAAGTTTCACTAAAATCTTCCACCATCTGCACTGTGGCTTTCTATCTGTGCAAACAGGAAGACATTTTTCTCACAACAGCAGCTGGAGCTCACCCAACATAGCTGCACATTTCCCATACACTCTGTACATAACAACATATATAGAAAACTTTTGTGGCTGAACATGTAAAGTCTGTAAGAGTTTCACTCCCATACCCTTTGCTTAGATTACCTTTTAAGCACTGGAGTGGTAACTGATCCATGATGTGTTTTCAGTGGCAGACTCAACCCAGAGGAATCTGCATACAACCATTTCATTCCAGCTCACTCCAGGGGGTCTCCCCCCCCCCCTCTTCCCCCACTGCCACCACCCACATACCTGCAGAGCTGTGTGACTCGGCTGGTGGAAAGCTCAGCGTTGGCATGGAATGTCAGCAGCTTTGCCCTGTCGCCACACAGGCAGAGATTTATGATAGTAGTAGTAAGAACAGCGGGGTGGCAGAGGGGAAACGATGTTGATAACGCAAGGCGCAGATTCCCCTCTTGTGCAGTGAGACTGTTGCAGAGACCGCCTTGGGCTCTGGGGTCCTGTCAGCACCACTGCAGCACAGACACACAAGCGGATAGGATGGCCAGGTGGACAGGTGGATGAAACTGGTGTCAGTCTGAGGTGATGCCTTAAGACTTTGGGCATCTCTAAGGCTGGTGTGGCTGAAGGCTTTACAGATTTTAACATGTCACTGCTGCCTACTATTATATGAAAAGGCTGTAACATAAAGTCAGTAGGAATATGGTCACTATATTTAATGAGGTCAGGGAGATGTTAAATAAAGCAAAACAGGAGGAGACTCAAACGCGGCATGTATACTCCTCCACTTTATATCTGCTCCTCCACTGGTCACTGGGTCAGTGCATTTGTCTGAAACGGTGCTTTCATGCTAGGATGATTTTAAAAATCCACTGAAAAGAGCATCACAGATGAACATAGTCATCTTTCATGCAATTGTAGCATCTGAAAATGTTGTAGAGCTGCAGCATTTTATAAAAAAAAAAAAAAAAAATCTGCCAAACATTTCCTCAATTATATTCTAAAAGTGCCCATAACCATTTCTCAAAGAGCAATAGGATGCTTCCAGATTGCTTGTTTTATGTTAAACCCAAATATAAAATTAGCTTTTTCATAGACAGGACCAGAAAGCCAAAAATACCCACATTTAAGAAGCTGGAACCATTGAATTCAAATGATTAAAAAAAAAAAAAAAAAAAAAAAAAAAAAAATTAAATAAATTTTTTAATTGTTGCTGTTAAATCTTCTGTTGACCTAATCCATTAAACGACAAACAGTTTCAGCTCTAGACTCTAGTAATCCTTCCCGATAACACACTTTGGACTCATGGTACATGACTGTGTGTCTTGTGCCATTACCTGTCGTCCATCTGTGCCCTGGCTGGACGTGGCATTAGGAAGCTGGCAGGACCAGGTACGCCTAATGTTGATTGGGTCAAGAGGTAAAGAGGTTTACTGCCATCTGCCACACCAGCCTCACGAATTAATCAACGAGAGCCGTTTGCTTTTAAGACGTGCGTGTTGACGCTCGCCCACAGAATCAAGCAATCTGGCCATTGTAAGTGTTTTGTGTATTATGTGCAGCTGAGGCATAACCACATTCAGACATGACTGCTAAATGTGTGCCCTTGACCACAGACACTGGTTAACTAACTGTGCTCCGTTCTGATTTTTATGTCGTACATTTACAGGTTGGTTACTTATAGAGCTCTTTAACATGCCATCTCTAGGAATCATTCCACGTTGAGAGAGGGACACGTTGTTCAGCCCAGCTTGACACTTGAAGCAGTAATGAATGTGACTGTAGTCTGTGTATGTTTGTTTCCTCCCTCCCAGGTCGACTTGTTGCTTGTGCACCCCCACTTCCTCCTCATTGTGCCCCCTTTATGTTTTATTAGGCCGATGTTCTGTTATTCTTAGCCGAGCAGGATGTTTATACGATCCCCGAACAGAAATATGACTGGCAAGGCCTGGGTGTTTATCTTTCTTTCCCTTCCCTCCCTCTCTCCCCTTCGCCTCCTCTGCTCAGGTCTTCACTGTCACTGTTCATCCCTCTGTCCCCTCCTCCGCTGCTTTTTGCATGCCTGCCTCACCCTCCTCTGCACCCCACTCAAGGATGAAATAAGTTCAGCTGACATTATTTTTTCCATGTTAAATCTTGCGTATCCTCCAAGCCTCCTCTATCTTTTATTTTTGGATATCCCGCTATTGTTTCAGCCAAGTATACCGTGTGGTCTGAATGGTGCAGTAAAGGTTACTTCATGGTGATTAAGCCAGAAGCTTTTCAATTTTCACATTTTTAGAGTCACCCTACACCCTGCTGTGATGTCAGTGTTTCCTCCTGAAAGTCACAAGGGGTGTGTGTGAATTTAGGGACGGAAAAACTGATAAATTGCCATTGCTTCAGGGGTTAATGATCTGCCTGTACTGAGTGACTCATGCCACTCAATTCTCTCCTGAGGATTAATGTGTGTTAATTCAGCTTCTTCTATAGTGAGGTGCATTTTGAATAGAAATGTTCAACTCAAAACATCAGCAATTTGATTGACAATGCTTCAAAATACTATAAATAAACAATGTGGAGGTCTAAAAATGGTTCTAGTCCTATCAGGAATTATTGAATTTACAGTAGTTAATGATCTGAGCCCTGATCCACATAAGTGACAGGATAATGTTTCATGCTAAAATGTAGTGTAAATGTGGCCCAATTAGAAGAGCCGCAAAGATAGCAAACTGTAACACAGCAACCTCAATGTAAAGTCTGCCAATGTTAACCACCAAGTAAGGCTGCAGCAGGAAAACCCCCTAGTGCACTGAACGCAGCAAGAGCGCAGTTTATTGTTTATGAATTAGAATTTGATTTCTAAGAAGACTGTGTGTGTGATTTCTGAAAGTTTTTATTTCTCCAGCAAACTTGGCCAGAATTTAATCTTAACTTGCATGGGTAGTGTGTAAGTTTGTGAGATAGAATATAATCAATAAACCTTTAATTTACTGTAAAGTAATTCATGTTGCAGGAAACAGAGATGAATAGATTTCTTTTAAAGACCATTCTCTGCGTGCTGAGTTTTGTATGAGTCATAAATTGAGACAGTGCTGCACTTTGTCGGAATTCTACAGAATGTTTTATGTTGTCTTTGGCCGATGAAGCAAGTGTTGTAGGTTTTGACTGTTTATTTTTAATTTCAAAACACTAAAATGGTTCAGTGCGTTCGTTTTTCTCCTGTTATCTTATCTAATAGATTTTGAAGCAAAAGGGTCAGAGACTGTGGTAAATGGTTCAGACACTGAATTTACATTGGCGCTCCTTATTTGAACCATGTTTTAATTACTATGACTGTCTAATTTCCAGCATTCTGCTATACCCAAAACACTTTTATTCAAGATTCAAAGTAGGTCAGTGCCACCCCCCACCCCCCAAATAAAACACACGCGTCCATTGAATCAGATAATGAGTGGATGTGAGTTTGCTTCTTGTCGTGTTCTGTTTTTTGTCCTATATAGCCAGTGACCACACAAACCACAAGCCTTTGGCCACTGACCACAAGGCACCAGGCTTTAAATAGAGAGCGTGAGAAGGCCGCTCAGCATCTTGTCTCAAGACAGCATCTATGTCGGTCCTGGGACCTGCTTCAAGTCATTTTGTAAAAAAAAAAAAAAATCTTTACTACATCAAAGTTGGATAGTGAATTCACTGAACATGGATAAACAAGCGCTTGTTACTTTATCTAAAATGGAAAGTTTGGCCAAGCTTTTATGGAACTGAGTGCATCGAGTTCCACCCCAGTCAAATACCACAGCACGCCCCCAGCACACTCTCACAATGACTGTTCTCTGGTTGCTGTTGCAAGAGCACATCATCCTGTATTTAGAAGTGGCCACCTTTTGTATAAAAGCCACATCATGAGCTGTGCAGCTTTGCAGTGCATTGGCGCAGCAGAGAATGGACTTGATGCTTGGTGTGTTGTGGTCAAGATGTGCTGATTTATAAACAAAACCAGCACACATCCAGGGAGGTAAAACAACCATGACTTTGAGACTGTGTGTGTGTGTATGCAGGTGGGTGGTTTATGTATGGCGTGTGATGGTTTGTTTTTGTTACATGTGATCACTGACACTTTTTAATCATTGTGTACAACTGGACTCCCCTAGAATATCTGGTACAAAACAAATTGGGACCACATTTATGTTGATTGGAAACATTTTGATACTGCACTTCCAATGGGCCATGATCATCACTGTGTCTAAATACATGGCTTCTTCTCTTCTTCTGTCAACCCTGCAGCCCAGTGTTTGTGCCCAGCCGAGATATGACTGAGGTGATGATCAACAGCACCCCCATGGAGGACATGAGGCTCAGCCCCAGCAAGGACAGACTCTCCTTCCAGGTAGGACACACACGCCCACACATGCACGACAGTGAAACACTGCCTCCATCTGAATTCCCTACCGGTACATTTTCATGTGGCATGGCCATTTTATACCTGTCTTCATCCATTCATTATCATTAATTGGACTGACGTCAGCATGGACTGGAGGGAGCTGCCACTGCGTTTTGTGATTTGGGAACAGCTGCTGCATTATACATACAAATGTCATACAGTTTGACCATGTTTAGTTATGAGGCTAACAAAATGATTTTGTCATTGAGGTGTAATGGCATAAAGAGTATTTTACTGATCTGAGTGGTTATACACCCACCTGCTACTTCATACAGAATTACAATTCTAAGAAAACATTCACCCTCCTATTTTTATCCTGTAAAACATTGGTGGTCATGGGTGGGCATAACTTTAAATATACAGGGGAAATGTATGTAGTGGAAATTGTCTGTAATCTACTGTGCCTTGTCACAAAAATAAACCCTGCAGATTCAGAGAGATGAGAGACGCAGCCATCAGGTGGTCTTGACAAGTTGTTGCCTGCAGCTTTGTTTCACTGTCAGCTCAACAGGGCCATCTTGGAAACAAAACTACTTAAACACGCAGCTGCTTGCTTGTTTAGTGTCACATTTATGCCAAGGATGGAAAAAGAATTAAAGGGCCCTATGTTAATGCTTAATTTCAGCACCTTCCACAGTAAAATAGTTTAAGTCAAAAGCATTGTATTTGGCCAGGGTTGGTCATGGGTACCAAATTATTCTTCAGCACTTGGGCCACCTGCTGAGACTTTTACCACCCACGGGGCAAGTCCTGTAGAAAGATCATTTCATATACGATTTGATATAATTATCTGCATATAGATACATATTCCATATATTTCTAAATATAATACGGTGGTTTGATAATGCCATGCTGGATGCAGACATTGACTGAGGATGTAGACTGACCCAAAAGGAAAAGGCTGGCTTCCTCCTCACAGTTCACACCCCAGCTGTGAGTCTGTCTGAGAGGATGAGAGGAGCGGATAAAGGGCGGGAGGTGGGTGAAAAGGAGGGCGCCAGTGTGCCACTTCTGCACTCTTTCCATCCCCACTCTGTATTGCTCACCTTGGCCATTTGCCCAAGGTCCAAGCCACTCCTCAGAGATGCACAGTATGAAGGAGTGACGTTACACCAGTCACTTCCTCCATTATGTGTGCCGTGGCTTTGACACAAATTGTGTGGCCATTCAATTCCAGCTGCACCTAATAATAAAAAGTATTGAAATGAATGTGACCTTAATGGTGGAAAAGGATGAGTAAATAGTTAATTGTTTACTCAATTATCATCTCAAAAGGCAATGTCATGATTCAGGCGTATAGCGTGCATCCCCTCCCCTCCAAACCGCACACTCCAGAAGATCTTAAAATAGCCAGCATTGTGCCTGGCTGATGATGTGTCGTCGCTTCCTGCCACTGGAAGTGAAACAAGTTATGACATGTGTTAGCTAAGGGTCCAAAGGCAAGGTCACTCGCTGCCTAACTCCCCTTGGTGCTGACGCACAGTGAGGATTGGCGATGCGGGCCAGGAAATGCAGATGCACGCAGGCATTAGACATGAACACAGGCATGCTCATACATATAATTACACACATATAATCACACCTCTTGGCGTGGTTCTATACGCAGCTGTTTTCAGAGAATGTAGTGGCATACATGTTTTCATAACTTGACAAATTCTCACATTCACAAGACATATCTTTTTCCTCCCGTCTCATCTGTCTCCTATGGAATTCATGCAGACTTGGACACAGCTGGATCCCCTCTATCTCTTCTTGTCTCAGTCTCTCTCCTGCCTCATCTAATGCTTTCTTTCCACTCGGCTCTTTGCCCAGACAGCGACATTGCCCCCCCCCCCTTCCCTCCAATGTCTTGGAGTGAAATATGCAGGTCTAAAAATATTCATCCACTTTATCCAAACAACAGCAAAAATGCTGTTCTTGGACCAGGAGTGGCAGGCTTTTTCCCCTGGGCCATTTCTCTGGTTCCTGAGAACAGAGAAAGTCAGAGGTTGATGTCCAATCTTGCCAGGACAGGGAATGCATGTAATCTCTCTTGTCAGAATGTCTCTCATGCCCTTCAGTTTAGATCCAAACATTTGAGAGTGGCACGCTGCGTTTATAAGCAGACATATCAGTCTGGATTTGCAGATAACTCGGCCGATTTCGTGTTCTTTCCTAAACCTTTTTTTTCTGACTCCATCTCAGCAGGAATATGAAGTATTCAACACTAAATGCTGCCTGTAATAGGGATGGCTGTTCTATCTATAAACAAATCATGTGCCAGTAAACCCTTCACCTTTTTTATGTTTTTCACCTTACTGATTTGAAATGCAATGATTACACTCTTGTATAATCTTCTGAGTAGTGGGTGATGTGGTACTGGATGAGTTCATAAGCAGCTACAAGCTGCTTGGCACAATGCCTTCCAAAGCATTTAGATTTAACATGATGCAGCATTTACGGCAAGTCTCCCTGGACATGCCTCATTTACCCATACACAGCCACTGATGTAACTCTTCCTTGTGCAGTGTATTTTTGGGTGAGCACCTATGTATGCGGAAAGCAAGCTTGGCTGTTGGGGGAATATGGGAAGGGCAAGTGCAGGTATGCCACTGGGATTTTTAGCAACCACTTCCCATGACAGATGTTTAGTCTTCACATCACTTCCTTCACAGTTGTTTAGCCTTGTAGTGGTGCCTGCAACACTTCTACAAGTTCTGGTGTCCCAGAGCGTGCTGCACACTTAGTACTGATCAGAAATATGCTCATGAATAATTTCTAGCTTTACAGCAGGGGACAGCTTTGTATTAACTCCGAGGTTAATGAAAGAGCCCTAACCAACTTTTTACCCTTGTCTCTGCTTTTTAGATATTTCCCGACCCATCAGATTTTGACCGCTGCTGTAAACTCAAAGATCGCCTGCCATCCATCGTTGTTGAGCCGACAGAGGGAGAAGTCGAGAGCGGAGAGCTTCGCTGGCCTCCAGAGGAGTTCCTGGTCAGTGAGGAGGAGGAGGACGATGACGAAGAGGAGGAGGAGGAGGAGCACAACAATGGCAGCATCCAAAACGGACAGCCCACACAGAATTCTCAGCACTAGAGGCCGTGTTGCAGCACCCATACTCTCTTGTTCTGTTTCTTTCTAATCGACTCTCCCTTTCACACACTGGTTTACACTTCACCTCAGCACTCAGCAGACTCGACTGGCGGACACGCATTCAGTGTCCCGCGATGCCATCTCGTTGCCCTCGACACCAAAGCATCACTCCCACAAGAGAAGCAATACATACATGCACACATACTTTCTCACACAATAATTTATCCTTCTGGACTTCACATCCACCCAAACAGACTTGAAAAGACCTGACACGCACAAGTCTAACCTACACCCACTTCCTACAATGCCTACCACCGTGCGTGTCTCGGCCCAGAACGGATGTCCCGTTGGACAGCGGCAGCTCAGTGCCCCATGGACAGGTCTTGCACTGCAGGGGGTGACTACTGCTTTGTACTTTACTCCAAAATGGCTGGCGTCATGACCCCAGAGGCTTTATACTCCGTACAGAACTACTGTGGTACCCGTGGGGATTATTGTCCACAGCACACTGTCTACACTTGTGTTTCAGTTTCTGGATTGATATGTTAATTATTGTGATTGCCACTGCTGTCCATAGATGTGTCTGTTTGTGACACGTGAATGTTTTGTGATTTGTCCGTTTTTTGAGAAGTGGGTATTTTGTGCAAAAAGTTACTGGGATTTTTTTTTTTTTTTTTTTTTTTTTCTCATCGCAGGATTCGTCTAAATTATATTTTTGTGGCCTTGTCAGCATTTACAATAAATAATTTTTTTTTTTTTTTTTTTAAAAAGCAACATGGAATCATTTTAGAGAAGAGATAAGAAAGTGAAGGGGGGGGGGGGAGCCGTGCCATGGTAAATAGTCGTGCTATGATCCTCTCATCACGTCGGCCTCCTGTAAGCCTAGTGACAAACTGTAGTTAAATGACAAAGCAAGCAGGGTGTTGTTCAAAAGGAGAGTTGAATAAGAATGGGGGGGAAATTATAATTTTTTTGGAAAAGCAATGTACAGTCCCAATGAAGGATATGTAAATACTTATTCTCTATTTTCTTTTTTTTCTTTTTTTTTTTTTAAGAAAGACAGATGGAGAATCGCTCTGAGCTGTACACACCTGAACTCAAAGCTGTCTTTCCTAGTCTTCCTGTTCTTTTTGAAAACAGCCATACATTTGACATTGCAAAGTTCAGGTCATGGGGGAATTCACACTATAGGACAGAGTTCACAATCAAGGATACAGGCAATCACTCCACTCACAACATTAGTCATGTTTGCCAAAAGCTAATAATGGGGAATCTTATTTGCTTTCTAGTAGTAATGTCATTTCATTCACCTGTATTGCAATTTCAAAAGTTGGGGGGGTTTTTTTTTTTTTTTTTTTTTTTGGTTTTTTTTTTAACTCTTTAAATTGCAACTTATTGTTTGAAAAAAGTCTTGTCAATATGTGGAAAAGATTTCACTTTTTGTGTACACAATCCGAAATACTGTTGTACAAGCATGACTGATATACTATGTCTCTGTTCTTGTAATTTTTAATTTGAGTGGCATTAGGGCTGTGTACAGAACATCTCTCTTTCCTCCTCTGTCACCCACAGGTCCCACATTGTTTTTGTAAAGCTCAGGGAGATTAGCCGCCATCTTTCTCTTGTTTTTGTTTTTTTTTGTTTGTTTTTTTTCTTTTGTATTTAGACCACTTTTCTCTGACTATTGCAGAGGCTGTAAATAAACATTTGAATTTGCTATCCAGCTGTGACTGCTGTGAGAATAATTGACTATGAAGAATTACTGCCATTTTAATGGTGAAGTAAATTAGTCTTTTACAATGGTGATCCTTCAATGCATTTAAAGTAGTGTTTGCAAGAGACTTTACTTTTGTGTTTACTTTCATTTTCCTTCATGTGAACCCCCTCCCCAACACACATCTCTTTTCCCCACTCACTTCACCTGCAGTGGTTAGAGAAAAAGCAGTATTACTTCCTGCACAGCACCTTTCACATACAGAATCTCTCTACGAATACAGATGCATGTATCAAATACGTGTAAATATAGAAGCGAGAGCAGGCCACATGCTACTTCCTGTGTTCAACTCGCACACAAATAAGAACAGTTTCGCTCCTTGTTACAACAAAATCTTATTCCTTAACACTAAGCAGCTTTAATTTCTACATTCTAAAAATGGTATGTCTTTAAGATATTAAATGATGCCATTCAGCAATATGGAGAACACTGGTTTGACCTACCACTCTTTTAGAGCCTTTACAATTGCAGAAGTATTAAAGATAGTAGAGGGTATAAAAGGCTGTGGAAGCAACTCCTCACGCTCTACCCATAAACACTCACCACAATGATGCAAGACTAATAAAATGTGGTTGAGTGGAAAAGCTCTAATGGGGAACTGGGGGATTTTACAGGAATAAACAAAGCTTTCTGATCACGGTTACAATGGAAACCTCTCAGGTGATTTGCTGCAATGTACTGTATTAGTGACCCACTAGGTCAAGTTTAATAGCTGAGTACTGGGAATAGTCCATCAGAGTTGCTGTGGTAGGGCCTTTAAGGGCCAAGGGCCCCATACATTGGTCAAGGTGGTACTTTCAGGGCCTTATGGTCACTTCCTGGAAGGAGAACAATGAACTGACATTCTATCCTGCTTCCTCCTTCCTGGAAAAAACTGGAGCATGAAGAGTTATTAATACCCCCCAGCTGATAAAGGTGGTCAGCAGCAGTGAGTGCATCTGGCCCAGGTAGCTTGTGGCTAGTTCTGAATAGGCTAAAAAATGAAGGTCCTTTGTCCCCTTCTTAATGATTGTCCCTTGATCTCAATGGAAAAAGTCATGAGATCATGGAAAGAACAACTCATAAGAAGTTAGGAAAGGACAGATTACAGTCCTTAGAGACACTAACCGACCTCGCATCCAGCTACGCAATAATGTGACGTCAGCCAGAAACCTCTGAACTTTGTGTCATCTTTCAAATATTGCTGGAGAAAGCAATATACTTCAGTTTAATAAAGCCCTGTATTTTTTAGGCTAAAGGAGATATGACAGGAATTCCTGGAGCATCATCACCTTGGCATTTAGACATTTTGAGTACCTCTTATATTCTGCTCTTCTTCTTCAGCCACTTCTCAGCCGATTCACTTGGGTTCCTTACCTTAGCAACTGAAGACTTTTTGACTGTAATCAATCATTACAATTTACTTTGGCTGTAAATGGGAAAACTGCTAGTCTGGCTTTGTGGGGGCACTTACCTGTGACAGCATCACACAGATAATAAAACTCACATCTAAAGCTCGCTAGTTAACATGTTAAATCTTGATTGTCTTTACATAACTACTAGGATAAGTTAAGCTTAGCTAACCATCTACTGGCTCTGACTTTACATTTACCACACTGTCTTGAGAGTCTTATCAATCTTCTTATGTAATTCTCGGCAGGATCGTGAATAAGCATATTTCATAAAATGTCCCACTAATTGTTTAATAAGTCCTACAGATGTTTTTTTCCTTCCCCTGAAATTAAATGGTGGCTTATTTAGTTGTGGCAATTTTGTGTAACAAGAAAACTTTTCTCAATTTGAAATCAAGTTTTCCGGGCCTTTACTTTTATGTTGCTCTGTAAACATGCTCCCTCTTAGTTGACTTAAGTAAAGATTTGATCCTCTTTATCTCTTGTGTAAAAGTTATTTCTTTACCCTGTAAACCCGCTAATTAACTACCCTACTGGTGGTCAGAGGTGAAGGCATTCATTTTGCAGCTGGCATAGATGAGTAGGAGCTCGGTGACATAGGGGAACGGAAAGCGTCTCACACACCACCGTTGGCGTGAGACGCAGTATCTTTAAATGTGTGCGAGAGCGTGTGTGCCTGGCCGTGTATTAAAACTGTTGTCAGAGTCCTCTGAGTGAAGTCACTGATAGCTCTTCTAGCTCATTCTTGGAATTCTTTCCAATGGAAACAATCCCATCGCTGATCCCAGTGTGTCGGCAGAGTCTGACCTGCCAACCCCTGAATTCTCCCTGACTCCCAGCAATAGTCCACATTAACACTGTTTCTCTGTCACTCCTCTACACATAAACTCACACCAACCCCTTCATGTACCCATAACATAACCCCCCCCCCCCCTTGTCTGTCAAGAGGAGAAAAATAATGCTTATCCGATGAACTCTTTTTCCACTCCCTCCCCATTTTACTTTTCTCTCCAATGTAGTTGTTTTCTTGTTCTTTCTATTTTTCGCTGTCCCAGACTTTTATCCCATTCTGTTGTTTCTGCAAGTTTCCCATACTTACATGACAGTAGAAATGTTCTCTGCATTCCCACAGTGCAGGTTATGTAATTTAAGTTAAGATTTTATTACAAACAGTGCCCCTGTTCCTATAACCTTCCTATTTTAGCACTGCAACCTTACTGTATAAGCCACCCAGGTTTATCCTGTGTGTGCATGCATAACTTTCTGTCTGTGTGTTTGTGCAAAGCGAGCAAACAGGCGCATGTGCTTGGAGGTTTTATGTATAACCGTATCTGTTATTATGAGTGCCATGTGCGTAAGGGAAAGATTCTTTTCCCATGGTTCCTCAAGTGTGAGAAGAAAGTAGAGCTCTCAGGACATGAAGCAAAAACCCTGCTAGTTATTTATAACCTGTCTGGAGACGGCCCACCAAGCGTAGACACATATCTGGCACTGTCAACAAGAGAAGAGCTAGAATAAGACACGCTGAGAGGCATACAACAAGGAGGGAGGATTAAAAGGTGAAGGAGTCAGGGAAGGAAAAAAGAAGGATGTTGAGGAGGTACAGCACAAAGAACACCTACATTGTAACATGGGTCAATCGCAGATTAAAGAGAGATTGTCTGTGTTAGTGGCCAACTTAGATAAGACTCGGTGAGATAAGGTTAAAATGCAGCAATAGCAAAAATGACACTCTGGAACTTGCTTGGTGTCACCATGCCCTCATAATGTACTTTCCAAATGACATTACAAATAACATGCATGGAAAAACTTGCATGAGACCTCTGGAAGTCAGTGAGGCAAATCATTTTGTTGTACTGTGTCCTTTCTCTGAATGTATTTGACATTTGAAAACCCCACAGCGCCGTGTGATACATGAATCCAGAAAAGAGGACCACAGAGTAGTGATTGCTATTCAAAACAAAGCCTCCACAGCTTCAAAATTAATCAGAGCCAAGCGCACTTGACGCTCTGCCAAACTGCTCTCTGTACCTGCACGTCTGCAGACCAGCCTTTGAAGACATAATGCAACTGCTGGACTCACAACTATAGCACATATTTGGATGGATGAGTCTGAGTACCCTGGGACTCATTCTCTATTTAACAGGGTGATGTAAGGTACATCTCCATCTCATCCTCAAGCTATTAAAGCTTTGATCAATACAAGTCTGATGGCATCCGCTTTATACTGTACTTTTGTGTGTTAATGTGCTAAGCCACAGGCTGCTGCTCTTCCATAGGCTGTTGTTGATATAAATAGACAGCTTATGGCCCCGCCACTCTACTCCTTATTGCTTTGAGATGAGGGTGGAAAAAATGAAGAAAGAGAGACGGGCGGATAGGACCAGAGACACAGATGGAGATAAACTCACAGAGATTAGGATGCAAAACTGGAGTTGACAGCAAGAAAGACAGGAATGTCATGTGCTGTTACAAGTGTGAGGGTGAGACATGCCGTCAACATGAAGAGGAAGTGAACTGAAAGAGAAGAAGAGAAGAAGACTTAAGTTAAATCATCCATGCCCCCTCTTTGAACTACCAAAAAAGCACACAAGGTCATTAGAGGCAAGAATGTTTAAAAAAGCAAACTAGATGAGTTCTTTTTTTCTTCAATAAAGCCTTGTTAGAGAGCTATCAATAGACTCTATTCAAAATAAACCAAAACACAGTGTACAATGCCCGAAAAAAGTCACTCTCTCAAATGGACTTACATAAGTGGAACGGCATGTCTAACATGAATTAATGTCTCTGTGGTCACTGCATTTATCTGGTAAATTGATCCGAACCTTGCTGTAAAACAAGTTGCATTTAACTTGGCTTAGCTCCCATGTCGTACTTATCTGGAAAACATAACTTTTTTTTTTTGTTTTTCATGGATTAAAATGACTGTGATTCTTAGCAGAAAGCTTAGATATTTGGAATTCTTAAAGGGAATATGATTAGAAGTACCCGATCATATTGCTTCTGCTAAATTATCTTGGACAGGCATCATTAATCATGTGGATGTGCTTCTCTTTTGAAGGTGAGTTGGCACCAAACTGTAAAAAAAAAAAGAAAAAAAAAGAGAGCTTGTTTCAAAGCAAAGTTTTTCCGTTCCCCTCTGAAGTGATGCGTTGACCCTTGAGAAGTTTATACTGATAAAGCTATATAGTTCACTCAGTCTCTCAGATAGAGTGCATGCCATAGGGAGCAGGTCATGGAAAAGTCTTGAGTTTGACTAAGTGCACTCTCTCTTTTACCCTGTCTGTCACTCCTTCTCTACCTCACTCGCCACACACACACACACAGCCACATGCATACACACAAGAGAGTACATACTTGGATACACTCAGACACATTGACCAATCTACGCACTCACACATCACTGAATGCTGAGGTAATTTGTAACAGTAGAACAGCTCATAACTGTGGGTAAAAGAAACAAATGACACATGCTAGGATTTACACTACTTTAAAAGGCTATGTTGGGGGACTCAAGTCAAGAAGTATATCATCAATACCATTCTTGAGATTTGAATGACTTCTGACATATTATTAACATGGGGGATCTTGGGGAGGAACACTGCATCATGAGTAAAACTTCTCAAGTGCTGGAAAGAGGATAAAGTGAGCTAGTGAGTTAGAAAACAGAGGCATGAACTATAGGTATACCTGTCAGTGTTTACAGATATTCAGGTCACTGCAAAGGGTAAACTTCCTGAAATGAAGTGGGTAGAGTCTGTTGACACAATGTGAAGCCCACTGCTTATTCACTCTTTAAACCAGAGGGTATGAATGATGAACTTCTTCTCAATGTAGTGTCCTACACTTGTCTTGTTCATTGTTAACCAGCATTAATGATTAAAAGGATAGTGTTTAATTAGTTAATTTGGTAAATTACTAAAATTCTAAACAAAAACAAAAAAGTTCATTTAAATGGTGATGCTGTGAAGGATAAACTGTGCTAATGAACTTTTTTTTTTGTTTATGTACTGAGGCTCAGCTGATAAAGTGCTTAACTTAGGTACAATTGTTAGGTACTTATAACTTACTTATTTCCATTCATGCTACCTTATTCTTCTTCTGTACTACATTTTGAATGAAAATATTGTTCCTTTTACTCCACATTTATCTGAAAGCTATAGCTACAATTTACTTTGCAGATTATCTTTAGTTCAAATTGTAGAACATGATGCATTGTTAAAGATTTAACATCTCAACAGTGTAAAGTAGTTCAAAGCTAGCACCATCTCCATCACTGACAGTAATAAACATGCTGCTCAGTCACTGATGCATCTGTAATATTGTGATATATAATACATAAGTCACAGGTACTTTCAGTACATTTTGCAAACAACAACTCTAAACTCTTACTTCAGCAAGATTTTTAATGCAGGATCTTTACTTAGAATTGAGTATTTTTACATTGTGGAATTGCTCATTTAAAGATCTGAACATTTCCTCCACAAGTGGTAGGCCTAAATGGATAGTCCCCCACCCCATTGTCTACCTATCTCCCTTTGAAACTTCTACTTAAACTTCATGTATGCAAATATTTTGACTACTGTTGAAATATAATAAATACGTCAAACATAGTCAATATAAACATGTGAAATCTACATAGCATTCAGTATGAGAGCGCATCTCTATACACACCGTAGCTAATTATGCTCCACATGCTGTGTCTGCAGTTTGCCGTCACCTACTCGATGACTGCAGCTTGCACGAACAGCGCCTCCCGTTGGCGTCTGGTTGAAAAGACAGGTGAGAGGTGACAAGTTGAGAGGTCGTGTTAGCAAAACGGCAAGGCGGCTACACTTTTGCTGCACTAAATGCTATGTAAATGCACTCAAAGAAAGCGAAACTGCCGTGGCTGGCTCAGCTAATATCTCGCGAAAGGCGTCAGCTTTAACGTCTGGTAACGGCTGGTAACGCAGTTGTTGATAAGCTTCGATAGTTAGCTCTCGCTAGCAAGCTGCTAGTTAGCTTGCTGAGTTGCTATGTCGCAACCGAGTGTTTGGACTTACTGGAGCTAACGTAGCTAGCTCATCCCAAACAAACTGATTCTGGAGGAAAAATACGAAAGGTGGGTATGTTGTCATCCAACCGTATGTAGTAAGTGTTCGACAGTAGTTGGTGCATTAGCCAATTGAGCAATATAACGTCGGCTAACGTGCTAGCTTGTGTTTTATGTTAACGTTAGATTTGGCTTGCGAAATCGGCATCCACGTTGTTGTTTGTGTCAGCCTGGTTGTTAATAGCAATTAGCGTAAATATAAACTGCACTGCAGCCATCGTTTATACTGATAGCAGAGCCTTGTCGGCGTATGTGTCTCAGTGAACGTAATACACAAACGTTATTTTGCGGTCAGCACAACTTCATGGTTGAGTGATACTAAGTTTCCAAGTTATGATACACAGGTGATAACGTTTATTAATGCTGCTCTGAGCTGTTCATGGTCGATAAAACTGGATGGACACATGCTCATGACGTTAACGTTATGACATGTTAATTCGTAACATTAGCTTTGCATACTGTCCTGCATACGTATCTCACCATTATCTTTAAGATTGACGCTTATTTGCATGTAAGGCAAGGTTAAGTAATTATTTACGAAGCAACATGCAAACCAGAGGGATGATTATTTACAGACAGGACATAGCAGATCTCGTTTAAGGCCTGTTTGTGTAACCACTTAGCTTAAAGTTAAACTTTGGCTAACCCGTGTTGACTCTCTGGTTAAAGTCCATGATCTGTCTTTGCCACACCCTGGGATAATGGAAAATATGTACGGTAAATAATGTTGTGTATTAGCTACTTCTTGATTAGATTGCATCTATGAGGCGTGGCCTATTTAGTCCACGTTTCCTAATGCGGGCTGATTTAATCACAGAAAATACCCTGCATTATTGAGTTAATTGAGATGGTGGATAGTGAAGGTCCGCGACGCAGTCACTGGCGTGCACCTTGAACCTTAACCCATAACCCAAACTCATTACTTTGTCCATAGGGCTAATTTGGACTAATTCAGACACATTTACTCATATACTCAGATAATTTCGGGCAGTATGTCAGACAGCATGTGATCGAAATTTCCCCCTGATCTAATATAGAGACTTGCTTATACTGAATTATTGTCAGAATTGTTGGTGACACTAAGGGACATTGTCAAGGAAATGTTATCCCTGAAAAGCAGATTTTCAACTCTGTCCAAATTGATTACAGTATCATCATCTCACTCTGTTAAGCCTTCCATATTTCATCCAGTTGTCCACAAAGCTTAATCAGCTGCAACTAAATGTTATTTTCATTATGAATTAATTGGTCAGTTATTTTCCTGATTAATCGTTTTTGTCTGTAAAATATCAGAATATAATGTAAAATATCAGAATATAATGAAAGGTGCCCACTGCAATTTCCCAAAGCCTGAGATTATTTATTCAGACATCTTATTTTATTTCACCAACAGTTTTAAACCCCAGAATATTCAGTTTACAATCAGAAATGTCAAAGGAAAGCAGCAAATCATACCAAGATTTTACCAGCTTTAGAAATTGTACTTCAGAAATAACTAAAACAATGTGTTGATTATCAAAATAGTTGCTGATTAATCTACTAATGGAGTTACTGTTGCAGCTCTATGTATGTGCCATTCAGCCTTACTCTGTTTCATTCCTCTTTGATGTCTGTTTGTCAAAAGGATATCCAAAATGTTATGTAAGTTTGCCAAGTCAAGAAATTGAATCAGTTTTAAAAATGAGTGATAGTTGTTGGGTGATAACAAGTTTGTCAGTTGTTCAGTTCTGGAGGAGATTAGAAAATAATATAACTTATAACAAATAGACCAGAACGTAAATCTATTTGCAGTTTAATCATCTATTTCATACTTTTCTCCCTCTTCTCTCTCCGTCTGTCTTTTACACACACATACACACACCACTTGAGCACACTGTTTATCCTAGACATGCTTGACCTCTTCGCTCTGCTTTTCTCTGTTGGGATGTCTGGTCTTGGCTTAAAGTGAGGAATGCAAAATGATTGCCAGAGAATTCAGACTTGGACTATGAGTAGTATGCTGTGCATTGCCTGTGGTGGTGTGTTTGGGGAAGTGCTTTCAGGATCATTACTATGGTGATTAAATAAATGTTAAACCAACCCAGATGGATGGGACTAAATCAAACTCACAAGAGGTACGAGCCTTGGAGTATGAAAACAAAAGCGTTTCCGTGGATGCCTTACATAAATAGAGTTAGGTCCCTGGTGCCCATGCCAAGCAGGAAAAAAAACATGTTTATTTAACACTTTAATGTTCATAATTCCATTCACTTCTCGCATCTCTTGCTCCAGGTGTGTCATGTCTTTTTGCTGCACGTATGAATTGGCTTGCCTGATTGTTCCAGCAGCCACCCAAGGGTGTGTTTTTTTTGTGTGTGTGGGGACATAGCCTAATTGTGGCAATTGTGCTGAGCAAGCCTGTTTCCTCACCTCTCTTATGCCTCACATTTTCCGTTGTTAAAGCCAGTAACCCTTAAACCCTTATTGCCAGTGTAATCATGCACGCGAACACACTTGCATTTTTTAAATGCACCTTCAGCCACTTTGGTTGCTGCCATTAGACTTGCTGTGTCATGGTGCTGCAGAGGTTGTCAACGAGTGCAAGATGATAGGTGTGTTGGGGGCAGGTAGTCTGAACCAAAGGCTTGTGCAATCATAATAGTAATTGAGGTGGAAAGGTGTGAACCGCAGTTCAAGAGAAGAAAACACCTGCTGGATGAAATAGCTCCTTGCAGCATCAGCTCAGACTCTCTGCGTCAGCAAGGCCAGGGTGTAATTAGATCAAGACTCACTGTGTTTCCCCTTTTAACCTTCACCTCAGGGGACTTGCTTGTAATCAACTGGTTCTTGATTCTTGAATCTTAACTGTTTGTCTTGGTTGTTTCAAAAAAGTTGCGTTTTTTAAAAGTTTTTTTCGACATGTATATCATTTCTCATTCATATAGTCACACAAACTAGATCCAGATGCAACTTACATGAATAGACATGTTCACTGTTTTTCAGATCATCAAATCAAATGTATTTACATAGTCCTTCATCACGAGTGTCTGGGCATGTAAAAGTGTGCAGCACATCAAAACATTTGACATTTAAATGACCATTGAGAGAGTGTTATTTATCCCTTTGCCCCAGATTTTAATCTTGTGGTTTGACTAAATGGAAGTAAATTGGTCTTTTATGGTTGACTTTGCTCAGTTTTTTATTTGGATACTTTTTTTTTTTTTTTTTTTTTTTTAAAGTATAGTCTTTTGGGCTTTTGTGCCTTTATTGGACAGGGTAGTTGAGAGAGACAGGAAATGGGGAGGCAGAGAGAGGGGGAATGACATGCAGTAAAGGGCCGTCCGATGCGGGATTCGAACCGGGGCCTGCTGCAGCGAGGACCGTAGCCTGTATATAAATGGGGCGCCTGCTCAACCCACTGCGCCACTTGATGCCCCCATTTGGATACTTTTTTAAAGGCATCACACAGGTTTTGAATTATTATGGCTAAATAGACCTCCTCTTGGGTTTGGTGGAGCCATAGGAACTACATGAGGTCACCAAAGTTTGTGTAATTATAAAGTACATCAAAGCAGGTGCAACAAGATGAACAGGACATTGGGGGAGATGTCAGTCAAGCATACAGTAAGTTAAATCACCACTGTCAAGCGTACCGTAGTTATGTAGGGATTTTCGCGAGGGACATATTCCACACGTGTAACATTACCATTGGCAGCTGCAGTGGTCACCACTGATGTCATTGAAATGACAAGGCATCCAGATTGGTATGTCCAGATGAGCCCCTTTAAACTTAGCAGATATGTCATGGACAATTGAAGGTCCTGTCACTTGGTTTTGAATTTCGTAAGGATTATAGGATGATTTCACTTCCCTCAGGGATCCAATTAACATAAGTTATTTCTGCTATGTTGCAGCTACTCTTACGAACTTACTTAAGCAGTGTTCTGTGTGCTTAAATGTTTTCCATTGACGTTCATCTATAACAATGTTGTCTATGCAGTTTGTATGTATTTTTATTTCAAATCAACTTTTTTTTTTAAATATTGCCTAGTCATGCTTACATCAGTGTGAATGATAAATGGTGCACAGGCTTGTAATGAATCATAAGGATAATTATCTGACTAAGGTTGTTATCAAATCTTTCATGTCTTTATCAAAGCACAATAAAGTTCATCAGTTAAGTTGTACCTTCACATGGTGTTATTATGTAATTTTTTAGTTTCACTCCTAATGCCAGGGTTGTAGTTTTTGGCATTCTTCCACCACAAAAACGGATCCCTTATGAAGGTTTTTTTTTTTAATTTTTTTATGCTTTTATTTTAACCTAACAAGCCTACCAAAATTCCAATTTTTGATTTAAATGACCACAACTAATTAAAGCAGCCAGTTGTATTACATATGCCCATTGCAAGTGAGAATATGATCCTCTGTACACTTTGCTTTTGATGGTACTTGGTTAAAGACTATCACCATACCTCCTGGACTGTTCCAGGTAGGATTGACAATATGGATGAAATCCTCTATCCCAGTAATAGGGCTGAACAATCGAACAATCGAAATATTATTGTAATCGCAATATGGCCAAATGTAATATCCAAATTGAAGTAGCTTCAATTTTTTTGGATCAAGGTAAAAATGGTCGCACCATACCATGACAGAGATACCCCTGCCTATAAGTCATATCCTTCAGACGTTAGGGAACATGCTATTATGGTCATTTTGGTCACTAAGAAACTGTTAATGGAGAAATCTATTCTCATGGTATACGTTCACAGTATTTTATTAGAAACATGTACACCCGCTTAGTCGTGTGTTTATCCAATCATGTGGCAGCAGTGCAGTGCATAAAATCATGCAGATGCAGCTCAGGAGCTTCAGTTAATGTTCACATCACATATCAGAATGAGGAAACATTTGAATATGAATTTCTTAAAATGTTTTCATGAACATGACAATGAATTCATTGTAATTCAATGGCTTCCCAAGTCACCAGATCTGAATCCAGTAGAACCCCTTTGGAATGTGGTAGAATGGGAGATTGGCAGCACGAATGTTTAGCAGACAATTCTGCAGAAATGATCGACATTAGCAGTATATCAAAATCAAAATCCATGACATGAACAATTAGGCTGTTTTTAGAGCTAAGGGAGGCCTTACTCAGTATTAGTATGGTGTTCCTAATAAAGTGATCAGTGAGTGTATATTTACATATTGACTATGCCCATTTTACAGTATTTTGATTGAGAAAATGACAAGGCAGCCATTGTTGAATTTTCCAGTTAAATTTAAGAGTTACTAACAAGATTTAAGAGCTTTGGTGGATATAGTTGTGATATTTTATTACCATGTTATATGTCAAGAATGTTAGAAAATGTAACTTAAAATTCACACCAGTTTACAGACTGTACATTCAGTAAATCATTTCAAAGCCACAGCCACACTTGATTTAGTGACCATGCACCCACAATTTGTTACCCACATAAAGGTTCTATTTACATTCCACACTAGGAATGTCTGCCCTGGATTTTCCAATGTTTGTGGGAAAATATGTCAGAAGAACCACAGAACAGCAGGCTTTGCTATTGATGAGAGTGTCGATAATCCTGTTTGTTTCATGTTACAGAGTTGCTCCACTTCAGCTTTCCATAGTGGAGATACAAATCAGGAATAAATTCCATAAACATCATCATTTTTTTCCCCCTTCTTAATACAACAACTTCAGCTCAGGCTATGACTGCTTAAGACCATTTCATTTATCTAACTGTGACTTATGTTCAAGCTAATCCTGTCTCATTCATCTCTCCACAGATGGCTGTGTCGGTGCGAGGCCTGTACTTTGTGGTGACCCTGTTTTTGGGTAGTTTCTTTGGAAGCGTCTTCATGCTGGGTCCAGTTTTGCCCCTGATGCTGTTGTCTCCTGCTTGGTACCGCTGGATCACTGATCGCATCGTTGCTACCTGGCTCACCCTGCCTGTGGTGTGTACACCAGCCTAGCCTTTACTTAGCCTGCCTGTGTGTGTGTGTGCCATATGGTCTTAAGTTACCTGTGTTTAACACGGTCCCAATAATCTGTGTCATCTCCACCTTATTTATGCCTCCCTATTTAATCAGATTTTATTTTTGTCAGAAGTACACTTCATTTATCCAGACTGCTGTTGAGATCAATTATATAAATCTTGTTTAGAGTGACCCCAGAATTTGATGGCATTATTTATTTATTTTCGTCTGACTCTTTTCTCTTTCTTAAATTCATCCTACAAACTTTCCTCTTCCCAGTCCCTCCTCTCTCCCTCTACATCCTTTTTAAATCATCATTCTTTTCTCCCCTTGATCATGCACCACTCCATTTCTTTTCTCAATCTCTCACCCTCACTGTTTTTTCCATTCTTCCTCCCCTTGCACTTTATCTTTTTTCCGTCATCTATCCCCACTACTCTCCCCTCTATAGTCCTTGCTAGAGCTGGTATTTGGGGTGAAGGTGGTAATAACAGGTGATGGCTTCATTCCGGGGGAGCGCAGTGTGATCATCATGAACCACCGTACGCGTCTAGACTGGATGTTCCTTTGGTGTTGTCTGCTCAGGTACAGCTACCTTCGTCTGGAGAAGATCTGCCTCAAGGCTGCCCTCAAGGCTGTGCCTGGCTTTGGTGGGTATGCTGTTGGTGCCCTGCCTATACAGCTGTCAGATTTGTCACTAATGTCCTTTGCACAGAATTTCCTCAAAAATTATTATTGCAAAGCAGTTTTTACTTTTAAGAGGAGGATTTCCAAAGGCAGGTTATTACAGAGCATAGGTACCCTAATGCAAAAGGCCCAGTCTCAGGTCTTGAGAAACATTGTTTTCTGCCTGCTTTGAAAAGTCTTGCAGAATCAGTTGCACATGAGAAGTAATCAATTACACGTGTAAAGACTTTGAATGTATTTTCCAGGCTGGGCAATGCAGGTGGCCTGCTTTGTCTTTATTCAGCGTCGTTGGGAGAATGACAAGAAACATTTGGAGAACATGCTGGACTACTTCTGTGACATCAGAGAGCCTCTGCAGCTGCTGCTGTTCCCGGAGGGCACAGACCTCACTGGTGAGAACTAAAGAATGCATCGCTCCATCCATGCATATGACAATTTGCCCACATTTCAGTTGTTATTCTCAGAATGTGTTTGCCCACCAACCGGTTTCTAGAGCTCAGTGTGACCCTACACCTGTCTTGCGCCTTTGCACTGACACTGTTATGCAAACACAATTTCAAAGTGATAAGGCATAGCCAAATCCCTGGCCACACACCCCACACAGTCATTTGAGCAAGAATGCTCTGATCTTTCAATCCGAGCAATAGTGACACCAGTGTCTAAAGCCCTTTCAGATCAGAAGTAAGCCAATCAAATTCCTGAGTAGCTGTTCTCAGAGAAGCTTAACCTCTCTTTACATATCATGATGTCATGGGGGGTCCAGTGTAGTTACATCATAATTTGCCAGCAGCTTTAGGGCTTTAAAGATTGTTTCACTATTGATGTTGTGTTTGCACTTCTGCATGTGTGTGTTTGCATGTGCACACGTTTGCATTTAAGCCTCTTAAACCCTCACAGCTTAATTTGACGCAAGAAACAAGGGTGTATACAGTATGTTCTGTCGTCTTATATGGAAGTTATTCTGCTCTTTTCTCCCTAATACTTATTCTAGAAACCCAAATAGAGACCTCCATCTACAGGATCAGGCTCTCTATGCACTTAAAACCCTCTGCAAATTAAACCCTTTTGAAGCTTGTGTGCATTGACTGAGAGATTGTATAAGAAAGACAAGTTGGATATTTGTCCCCCTTGGAGAGCAGAGGCCTGATCAACAGAGGTCCGTCCAGAGTTCTTTGCTACTACAAGTCTTTCCGAAGGAGCTACTTGTTGCATAATATGACTGATGAGTCATGATATAGTTTACACGTTCCTGCAACAAGTTCCTGAGGAATTGTTTGGTTAATAAACACTCATATTTCCTGTGTTTATGTACCCCTGTGGTTTATACAAATGTGTAAGCGTTTGTCACTGGAGGATGTATTTCATAAATGTAGTCATATCCCTTTATCAACGTTGTTGTTGTTGTTGTTGTTGTTATTATTATTATTATTATTGTTATTACTGCTGTTTACCTAATACAAGTGTTGTTTTGCTACATTTGTAACACATCGTAATAGTTAACATGCATGTATCACTTCCAATCGCTTCTTGGGTGATTGTAGCTGCCAGAGGTTTAATTACTGAGTGTCTGTGTCTCCTGCAGAAAATACAAGAGCGAGGAGTGATACTTTTGCTGCACAGAACAGCCTGCCGAAATTTGAGTACGTGCTGCATCCCCGAACCACTGGATTCACATTTATTGTGGACAGACTACGTAAAGGTGAGCTGAAATGTCTATATTAAACATAATGGTTAAAAAACTGCGGAAAATGTTGTGGTTGGTTGGCAGTCAAACAGCAGACATGTATTATGTGTTAATTCATCTTTTATGATTAGCATTATTTGCAAAGAAAATAGTAGAGCACAAAGCTTGTCATTATTAAGGAAATGTTTTATCAGCATAACCAAGGGAAAATTATAGCTACCATAATGACTGTAGTTATTCCACTGACACTGTTTGTAGAAGAGGGATCATACCTGCTATTTTTCCAAGTGTCAGACCTATGCTTCATCCTACTGCCAGCCATTACAGCACCCCTGAGATTCTCAGGTTCCCTATGAGCTAATTCTGGCAGCCCTCCAGAGTTCTTAAATACCACCTCTGGCCCTGCCGTCTCAAACCCCACCCGCCCTGGATGCTGAGCATGGCACTAACTCTTCCAAGCAGGTGTTGTGAATCAGTGTGATGTCATCAGACTTAGCTAATTCTCCTCTCCCTCTCTCTGCACCGCTGACAGACATGCTGTGCATGTTGTCTTTGTCCAAGTCCACTGTGCCCCTCTGAGCTCTATTTTTACCGTTGCTGAGCTGTGCAGGAGCAGGCGCTGGCAGGTGTCATCCTGTCCACTTGATACCTCATTCAACTCTCCCTGTGTGTTGTAAGGGCATTGTAGTTCATTGACGATGGTATAGAGCTCATGGTAGTTCTGTAGGAATGAAGCTCCCATGGATAATTAGAGGTACATGTGTATTTGATTTAAGAGCTGTGTTTTTGAAGGGTGCATAATACACTGTGAACAACCAGTTTGGATGTGGAAATATTAAGTGTCCTTGTCGTGTCAGGTTTTCATCAAGTCTAAATCATGTCTTGCTTTTCTTTTATCAAACTATTATAGTATTCTACCTTTTGATAACTTAAAAATTCTGTCTCTTTTCCTAGGAGACAACCTGGATGCCGTCCATGATATTACCGTGGCCTACCCCAAGAACATCCCTCAGACAGAACGCCACCTCATCTTGGGGCTTTTCCCCCGTGAGATCCACTTCCACGTCCGCCGCTATCCAGTGGCTTCACTGCCCTCCTCATCCTCAGACCTAGAGTCTTGGTGTCGAGAACGCTGGGCTGAGAAGGAGGTCCGTCTCCGTGACTTCTACTCAGGCCAGCCCCGTGGCTTTGAAAGGGATGGTGTTGCACGTGTGCCACCTTGTAAGTCAGAGCTGCGAGTGGCTCTGATCAAAGCTGCCTCACTGCTGTACTGGAGCAGCTTCATTGCTCTGTGCTTCACTGGCCTGTGGATGTGGGCTCCATTCAGGGTCTATTTCCTGGTCATGGTTGGAGTGTTTATGGCCCAGCAGAAGCTGGTTGGAGGGGTGGAGCTGCTGGAGTTGTCCTGCCATCGATACTGGAAGTCCATGGCTGCTGACGTGGGTGAGAAGAATAAGGTGCTGGATGGGAAGATGCAGTGAGGATGGAATACAGGGTTGACTGGACAATGACATGTTTCCACCTGTTCTCAGCAAGGACACAGGATTCTGTTGTCTTAGCCTGTTCAGTCAAGTGGGCTAGAGGATCCCTTAGAGGGACCCGGAGCTCCATGCCTTAGAAAGGGAGTAATAAGTGCACCCCCTATGCATGGCTTCAGTGGAGAGAGCTTACTTTTCTATTGAAGAAAAAAAGAGGAATGTTATGTGCATTTGTATCTGTGTTGGGTTCAAGGAATTCATCATACATGATGTGTCAAATGCCCTGTATTTCTCTTCACGTATAATCACTGTCAATTAGCTTGCCTCTGTTTTATGTTGTTAGTGTTATGATTGTTTGTTCAGAACCTCAGTGTGGACATGTCACAAAACAATGCTGTTAGTATTTTTTATACTGTTGCCATGTCCTTGAAACTGGTTTTAGTGTATGTTATGTTGCCCTTTGTTTTATATCATTGTCATAAATTATGGAGCAGAGCCATAGTACAGACCACCTGTACATATGATGACTTGACTCTAAACAATATTCAAATCAGCACTGTAGTTGTAGCTGGATTACCGTAGTTAGCTGGATAAAACTGATGGAACTAGTTAATTGAATCAGTTTCCATTAATATTCTCCAGCAAGGAAAAGAAAGGACAAATATAATTCCCAGAGAATTATTGAGGAGTATACAGGTATATATGTACCACTGTTTACCTTTAATGGGTATAATTACCCTTTTATACAAATTGGGGAATGAATTTTCCCAGTTAGTCCTTAGAGATAACTTGTGTGGTGATGTTTATTACTGTGTTGGTCTTGAAACATACAATATGTTACTCTGCTTGTTTGCTCAAGTAGCTTTTGCACATAAAAGCCAAAGTTGAGAAAAGCAGAAATGATGTAAAAAGGTAACCAAACAGAATGTAGTCTGTCCTGTCAGGAAAGGGCAGCTTCACCCACCATTGGCGAGGTTGTCTGCAGTTACACAGAGACAACGTTCATAATCATCAACTCATCAAGGTCAAAGATCTGACTGAACTCTTTTCTCTGGATAACTGTAGAAGCAGATGAGCTTTGTGCCCTTTATGGCAATGAAGGGATGCCTTGTAGAGGCAGGATGTGGGTGGTGCAGGGGTGGAAGAATGTCCTGTTGGGACAACATTACCCTTCGATGTGCAGGGTGGCACAGAGGACCAGACTTGGAGTGGAAAACTGGCGCTGAACTCAACCTAATCCAAAAAAGCCCTGTAATGCCCACCTCTGCCTGTGTCACTCTAGAGGACTGGCATTGATGCGCCTGCTAAACTCAATTAGCAAGTGACAGCTGAGAAAGCTTCTCCAATTGTGCCAAAAAAGGACAGAAATGGAAATAAGATTGGAGTGGCGCTTCAACCACACTTTTAGCCACTGTCTCTCCTTGCCACTGAGCTCAATACCATTTCAAACATTGTTAATTCTGGGAGTCAGGGAGCATTTGTGTCTTGGACAATCTTTAGCAGTTTCAGTAACACTGTGCAGTGTGTTCTAGCTATCCACCTCAACCCTGTTCTGTGAGATAAATTTCATGGTCGACCACACATTAGAAAGGTGACTGTAGCATCTTTCTTGTTTATATGATATTGAAGCTCCTGTAGTTAAAGTGTAAAAGGGGCTTCTTCCAGTCACTGTGATCAGCTGTGTTAACAATCTAATCATCAGCATGTTGTAGTTTACCAGACGTGGTACTATATCCATTTTCTTCAACCCATCTGAAACTCCTGAACCAGCTAGAATCTACATGTATTACCCGTTCACCTGTGCTGTTTTGTGTTGCTCATTTTACAATCACTTGCCGATGCTGGACCTCTTTAAAGTCACTGTCCTCAGGTAAACACAGTGGACACTGTCACAAGTCAGTCTCTTAAAGGAAGAAATATATATCTGAATAAATATATGATATCAACTCATTCATGTTTCCAAACATTGTTCTTTCAAGTTTTATGACCAACTTAGGAAATGATGACCTCTGACTTTGCTGCTGCTGCTTGTCTGCTCATGTGATCTTTGGGTAAATGTTGTAACAGCTCATGTCATTAGATTGATAGTATCATCAGTTTGAAATGTTACACACACACACACACAGCTAGTGTGACGTCATTGCATTACATAGGAATTGTGACAGGTTTTCTTTGATTTCATTCATCATTCCACTCACGTAGAGCAACACTCCCATTACTTCGTGATATGTTTTCACACTGACATTTTTAGTTGCTGCAGGGCATCTTGTGCATTGTCTCGGCAGTGCTTTAATCTAGAATGTACTGTAACAATCACCACACTGCAGTGAATGAGTCAACAAGACCTTCAACGCTCGTGTTACACAACAGTGGGGCTATAGTTTGCCTTGTCTGTTTTGTACACACACACACACATACATTTTAGTCTACCATAGACAACTAAAAAGGTCAGGAGCTTTGAAGGTGAAGTGCAGTCGCCATAGTAACTAATGTTGACTCCCCTGTCTCCTAGCAACGGGATGTGGAGTGATGTCAATGGAAAGCATGCTATTTTCTCCTGCTGACAGAATGATGTCACTCTTTTGTGTATGTGTGTGTTTGTGTGTGTGTAAGGAGAGAGTGGTGGAAAGGGAGAAGTTTATTTCTATATTCTATATCGCTGCTCTCCTGAGGGGATAGAGAGGGGGTGTGATGCTGACATCCCGCCGAATAAAGGAAAGACAAAAGGCGAGGATAAACTAAAATAGCTGTCCGGGGATGATGAATCATGGGCCAATTAAGGGTGCAATTATGCTCTGAGTTCCCTTTTTGGTCCCCCCCCCCCCAAATTGTCCTCTGCGTATGAATATAACTTCAAATTTGCTCTGATAGGTTTGACAGTGGGTGGAAGGAAGATGGATGATACACACAGACTCCATCATTCAGTATGAGACACATGAGAGCATCACTTCACTAGTGCATCTTTTTTTTCCCTATTATTAGATTTTCCTACAAGACTCGCTCAGCAACAGAATAGTTGAATGAGTGTATAGGAGCCTGAGGTTAAAGTCTTTAGAGAATCTCAGTGTTGTCCCTGGTCCTGCCTAAGAGCACTGTGGGAGTCTCTGAAGGCTAATGGAAAAATAGCTCTGGCTGTGAACACACACACATAAAGACTGTCACATCTAGATTTGTGCTATGTCTTTCCAATTGCATGCAGACTAATAGGATCAACAAGGCAGTGTAATTATCCTTATCTGGCCAGATGGCTTTTTCAATAAAGACAGCAGACAATCCTGAGGTTATGCAGGGACAAAGTCAAAGACTACTATGAATTATAAAGCAGGACAGTCAGTTCTCTGGAGCTGGAGCCTCCTTTTTGTCTCTAGTCATGTCCGGCATTTAAATGGCACTAGGTATAGTCATAAAAACTTCAGTCTTCTCAATCCATTAATGCTTTAGATCCCTAAAAAAAAAAAGAAAAAAGAGAGAGAAAAGAAGCAACTGCAGTGAATACAAAAATAGACCAGAACAGTTTGTTTTGTTCATCAACCTTAATTAATATTTGTGCAAACTAAGTTCACTGCTGCGTGTTCAGTGCAGGATGCCTCCAGGAGTGGCTGCAGGAAAAGCAGACCTGTTGTTGATTCCACCACTGTGACATAGACCCGCACAGATATGCCGACAAAAAAGCCCTCCAACGGGATCCGAGCTATAAATAACTCTACGGCAGCACTGCAACATTAGTGGGTGGATTAGGGGTGAATCGTCACTGCCTATTTATAAACCAAAATGCAGTCAAACCTCTGCATTGTGGATGATTCACAGTGAGTGCTGAATAGGTAGGATGAAACAGGATTTAGTCAAGATGTGGTATGTTACTGGACACAAATGTTTGCTTTTCCTTTCACACTTTCTCCTTACAACTCATTCAGTTTTTGCCTATTTTGGGCATATGTTTGACTTTAAATAATTCAGAGGAGTTCATTCATTTTCTCTCTTCCAGGGAGTAACATCATGTATTTCAAGCCTGCAGTGAAGCTCCACAGACCATGCTAAGCAGGCTAATGTCAGAGGCAGGCAAGACTCAGCATCATCCTGTTACTCAGTAGGCTGCTGCCACCTAGAGGTCGAAAGCTTTGGTTCTAATCAGAAGTGGCATTATCCTCCCCTCACCTACATGAACATGTCAATATTCAAATACTGAACTCATTTGCCTTGAGCACTAGGTTTAAGCCATAGTTGGAAATCTAAAAAGCAAATGTCTAAGTGCAAAAAATTTTCTTTAGAGAGGAAAAAATATATAATTTGGCATGTGTTTGGTGTTTGTTCTTGCGTTCTTGATAAAAATGACATACTAAGCTACAAAATAAGCACAAACATGACAAATCATTTAACCCAGCAAGACTATATCTTTATTTAGAAATCACATCAGAGAAAATCTTGCTATAACCATACAAGAAAACATTTTCTTCAAACCTCCAATCAGGAAAATATTCAAGATAAATGCATCAGTCAATAAAATAATAATATAGAGTAAAGCAAATAAAAACAGTTGGCCTACCAATAAAATGCTAAAAGTGAACAATATATGATAACTATATTCTGTCATGGCCATTGACTGTACACTGCACTTGACCTGGGGATATGGATGATGTCAGTGGCCTGAATATATTTAATATGGCATTTTTTTGTAGAAATGACAACTTTGCACAGTCTTGCATGACCTTGTAAAGGCATGCAAAAACATTAACAGTGTCACTTGTGAAGGCTGGACCATTCTGGTAACGCCTGCAGGCATTCACCATCTGAAATTGCACAATGTTACACCAGGGCCATGATGCTGGGCAACAACCCAGTCCAAAAATAACCTCAAATGTCATGAAAACTGAGATTTTTTTTTTTTTTTTTTTTTTTCTAACAATTTGACATTTTGAAATCTTCACTGACGATATAAAAATGAGGCTCTGGCCTAGTCAGAGAGTCAGACTTGACTTTAAAGACATATTACTCCACCAAAGCTTGTTTGGCTTTGTGTTGTAAGGAACAAGTCATCTTGTGACCAAATGTGCTCTAAGCCCAGGATTATAAAAAGAGAAAGGTCACTATCTTAGGAGTAATTTGACCCTCGGGGTCAGCCTCAGCATTCAACTGCTAAAATGAATTTACACAAAAAACAGTTCAAAAATCAGACTCAAGCTTAATTGAAAACTTATTTTTGGTTTGTTGTCGTTTCCAACAATGTGCTGTGTTACAGAAAAGACTGTTTGCTGAATCCCTATTTTGTTGTGGTTCAAGTTATTCCTTCAGAGGCTGTTAGTTTGTCCCTCACTGTCACCCAGCTCATTTTGAATGCCTGTATTGACCCATCCTCTCATAATCCTGTCCTTAAGCCAGCAGGCAGCCAGAGAATGTGTCCATCACACCTCAGACACATTCCTCCTCTGTCACATGGCTGGAAGGTACATGCTCCTGATATATCACCGAAGTGACATGTTGCTCTTCACACGGCACACACACAAAGGCACACAATCCATGGTATCAGATGCTGATTGATAGAAATTAATAAAACTGTAGGAGTAATTCAACTATTTTCTTCTGTTTAGGAGCTCGCTTCCATACCGTGAACTGCAAAAATGGGACATTAAAGTCACTCTGTATATTTCAAAAATGTCATGTCAATCAAAATAATTGCACATCATGTGAGCCAAACCTAAAGAAAACTGCTATTATCATCATCAAACACAACGATGAATACTTAAATATGACATCATTCTGTGCGGTTCTTACGGTATCATTTGAATGAGAACAGAGATTTGAAACACAACTACATTCTTTACACTACCAGCTAATAAAAGGTAACCGATATAGAAATTACAACTATCATTGTCTTAATTGTGTTCAGGGCTCACGACATGACAAATACATTGAGACAAAGTTCACAACACAGAAGCACAAGCCCCATGAACAAAACATGTAGAGTGACACCTCCACTGGTTCATTTGACACAGCAGTGTAGACTGGGTTGGATGATGAACATACTCAGCTCTACTACCTCCACTTATCTAAATAAACAAAACAACCAGGTGATGTTTTGTTGATGTGACTGACCATGTCTATTATCATGCATGTATTTAACTACCATATGAAAATGTGTGGAGCATGCCTTGTGCAGCGATGATGAAAATTGTGTGTGACCGTGCATGAACACTTAAACACGTGAAGTTACAACTCCTAACAGTGTCCCCAGCTGTTTTGATAGAGGGGGGAGGGGAAGGGGAAGGGAAGGGAAGGGGGGGGGGGGGGGGGGTACCCTGTGACACATAAATCAGGGAGTATTTTGGGGAAGCCTATTCAGCAAGAACAGATCCAGCAAACCAATCTTCTAATCAGCAGAGGTCTAGAGTCATAGGCCAGAGACAGGGAGGGGGTACGGGGAGTGAAGGCAAAACTTCACTGACCACTAAGTCTGCAGGTGGCAGTATGCAGCACAGAGGCAAAGGGATAAGGGAGAGGGAAAGGAGGACAAAGGAGTGAGCCTTCCCATATCAATTAATCCAACTTTAGGGGCTCATGAGTTGTCTGAGGGGACATGCTCTTCAAAGCCCTCACTCTCCCTAACCAGCGCCCTCTCCAGGATGACACGTCCCTCCTTGTACCGCTGACTGTCCTCAGTAGCAAACTCATAGATCCAACCCAGCTTGCTGTTGCAGTTCTTGCAGCTAACGTCTCTCACCATGTGCCTGCCGGTAAGCATCACTCTGTCCTGAACCTCGCTGTACTGCAGGTTCACCACCTGTAGGGTGAGAAACAAGCATGCACACAGGTTTTCAAGCAAGGAATGAGATACTGAATTTGTGTATCCTGTCTGATTTAGGAGTACATAATCCTCCTTGATTTCATGGCTTTTAACTGTACCTTATTGAAGAGGAACGCTCTGCCCGTGGCTCCTGTGAAACGTGTTGAGATAAGCTCTGACCGATTAGTCAGGATGGTGTCACAGTTGGCACAGGAGAAGAGGCGTGTTCCACCAATGTGGTCCAAGAAGATACGTCCCATTGTTTAATCTCTAGGAGTGACTCAACTACAGCTAATGTAGGAGAAAACAAGCAGAAGAAAACTATTCATTGCTGGAAAGTGAACTAAAAACAAAACTTGAACATAAACTGCATATAGGCAATGGACAACAGAATACCCTAGAGTTGAATGACAATGTTGTAAATCAATGTGCAGAACTGTGTCATGGTGACTTTCACTACAAGTTAAATATGTTTCAGTTGAACTCAACTTCACAGTCACTTATAGACTCTATTCTTTAAGATAATATGAAGAAAAAGTCCTGTCTTTCTGTCGAACCTGGTGCAGGTTGACTTTTGAGCTCTGTTCGTCTCTTGCAATTGCCTTCTTTGATATGTAAATTTGCCGAGCAGTACAATGTGCACAATACAGAAACATCGTAACTTTAAAGTTTAGAGTCTCAAAAAACAAACATTGTGAGCTCAAATAGGTATTTACTGTCTTATATTTTGAGGTATTGTTTCCTGCCGCTGCCACAGTAGCTTTGACTTCAACAAGTACTTTTTGTTCCTGACTGATTTGTCGTGAGTAGCCTACTGTTGACTGTAGGTGGCAGCTTTGAATAGTGCTGAAAAATAAAAAGCCATTATGACGAATACTGACGAATACACTCTATTTGAAACACTAACACTTTCGACTGAGTGGTAACATGAGACACATTGGCTGGTTTTCATTGCGGTTCAGGATAATTTGGCTGTGTGGCGTCGCACTGACTTATCTAGAAGAAAAAGGAAGCTAACGTCAGGTTAGCCGTTCAGCTAACAGCCATAATATTAACGGGCTAGGACCAAGAGAACAACAACAAAACGGATACTTCTGCTTAGCTCCAAATGACGGCTTCCTACCGTTTCTGATTTGTTCAAGTGGCACAAAATGTCCCCACCAGCGACGATGTCACCAATATTTGACGTATATTTTAGACGAACATCTGTTGTTTGTACCGTCGTCGTCGTCGTGGCTTTGTTGTTCTTTTTCAGCTGTTCCTGTCTGAGCTGTGCTCCCAGAGAGTATCAACATCCGGTTATGACGGCTTGTCTGTGCTCCACCAGGTGTCAGCAGAGCCGAGCAAAACCTCCACATGGACGAGAATGGCTTCAAATACAAAAACTGTATGTAAAAAGTTCAAATACACTATGGAGGTAGATTTGTCTCAGTATTTTTTGTGTGAACAGATTGACAATCCGTGTGTAAATGTGTGATCTGTAAACATATACACCTTCCACAAATATAAAAAATACATTTGTAAACTCACAAAAATGTCTTGCTAATATATATCGGATCTGCATATACACAAACAAAATTCCACGTTAGCTATTAAACCGGCACACGTTGCCATGGCGACAGTACACACTGATGTTGCAGACTGAGGGAATTGAAGCAGGGTACTGAAGATAAATTGTAAGCAGACCACATTTTATACCCATCCAACCTGTAGAGAGATAACTGGTGTAATTTCTTCACCATTGAGTTGACTATAATAATCATTCAGTCCATTTGCCGTTTACGCCATAATTAGTATTTTCTTCATGTAGGCTATAATCGGCTGGCAGTTATCTTCATTAGTCCTGCACAGTCACTAGAACAGCAAACTCACACTGATAAGGAATATGTCATAATGCACAATACTAACAAAGTTTAAGGTTACAAGGTTAATTTATTTATCATTTGACACAGAGTTGTACAACAAGATGAGACTCCTCCATAAAAATAGTTTTTTTTATGACATCTTATTTATTAATTCATTTACTGTTTAGACTGGTGAGTAGCATAAAGGGAACGACAACTACCACATACGTTATAGTAAATATCCAGTCTGAGATTACATAAATAAGTAGTAACGAACACAATCACAGCCGTGTTATATTCCGTATATCACTCCCTCTCGCCACTCCCTCCCTCACGACCTCGAGTGTGATATTGCTTTTATACAACAGTTCTATGAGCGCTGTAGTCGTTAAATAAGCAACAAGAGATTACGATTTGTTTGTTTATTTCATCTTTTATTTGAGAACTAAGCAATACATAAACATTTTTCCTGACCTACACAGTGCACACTAGCTTGCTACTTTATCTACACGTTACCTCAGGAGTGCGCCGAAGTATCCAGGGTTCTTCTCTTCATTCTCTTCTGACGACCATACGTAATTTAATTCAAATGTTATTTCTGGAAATATATTATTCTTTGCAAAGTTTGTTGCAATCTAAGATAGATAACGACAGTTAATGTAACGATGATTAATGGTTAGATAGAAGCCCTGTGAAGCGGAGTGATACATGTAGTTAAAAGTCGCAGTGCTGTTGTACTCTATATCAGCACTCATGGAATTTCTCTCGTCCAATCAAATTACTTGGTCAGAACTAACTTGTATATTTTTTACATTTTGTTATTTTGCAGTTTTATGTTGAAATCGTTTAATTCATTCATCAACGTGCAATGCCAGTAAGCTCGCTAATGCTAATGCTAGCTGCCGGGGGAGGCGGCTAGCTTGCCCCCAATAGACTATGCGCCCAGCCAGCAAACTAGCTACCCGCGAAAGCGGCTAGCTTGGCGTTTGTGTATTTGCATGTGGTGTGAGTTTTTGAAGCGTATCGATCGATGAAGATGTTTTCTGTATTTCAGCGTGTATGTGTCTTTGCATGTGTTTTCTTAAGTTGACATAGTTGCTGAATGCCATTTGGCTGCTTCTTTTTCAGGGTCCTGGTGATGTGCATGTTGACTCTGTCACGCCGTCATGGCTTATTGGGACACTTGAATGTAACAAAGCCATAATCGTTGATATGATGATGGAAGGAATGACGTGCAATCCTGTGATACATTCAGGTACACACACAGACATTTGCCAATCTACCAAATAAACCGGCACTGAAATACTGGACAAAACAGAAATACTATAGCAGTCCTAGATATAGCAGTTCTAAGTGATTGCAGCCCCCTATGACCAAATCCCTATTCTTGTGGTAGAATATATAGACAAATAAAAGGAAAAACCAAATTACCTTAAAGTTAATAATGTGCTGGGTCAACAGAACATTTTGATGGATGATGCAATGCATCAAAACGTTATAAACCATAAAAAACCACATAAATGAAATCTGATAAGTCAACACAACATCCAGATAACTTTTACTCTCTTGATTCCAAGGGTCAGGCTATCTGCAAAACCAATCTAAGGACAAACTCATAAAGTATTTAGCAGTCTAATCATATCTCATCACATCTCCAAAACTGATCCTGATTTACTAGATTGCTGGTTGTTAACATACTATTATGTAACCCTGGAGAAATATATGAAACACTCCCAAGTGAAAGTTGGCAGTTACATTCATCATCACAGGTCAGGAAGTGTCCTCTGAATGTTCTTTCAGTGAAAAACTAGCACAACTTTAAATTAGAAAGCAACACAAATAAAATTGTATGGTTACATGGACTGTTAAGTCAATGCATAGTTGTGTGTTGTTATTACTACCTGATTAAGAGGCAGAATATTTATGGTTGTTTGAGCTTTTACACCCAAATGAGTTTTATTATTAAACAGAAATGTACTCATTTCCCTGGAAAATCACTGTGGTTACTATCACTGTGTCCACAAACTCATATATACTCATAAACAAAGCCCTACTACTTGAAATGATGGAGCAACATCTTCAAAATATGTTAAAACTTGCAGTTTTATCCCTTTTTTTTAATACTTAGGTGATATTTATATGGGCAAAATACAATTTTGTTTGATTTACAGTGTTTTGACACCGAATGATACAGTAGATCAACTGAAAACAGAAAATCTAGAGAATTTATGTCTCATTTGGATTGAATCAATCGGTGTTAAAACTAAGATGCTAATTACTGATATACAATGACATTCTAGTGTATGTTTATATCTTGGATAGTATTGTGTGTTAATTTCTGACTCAATATTGTCAGAATGCATAAACCAAAATATGAATTATGAAGACGGTGTTTCTGTCTCTTTCACCCATTAAATGTATGATGTCAGGGTTTATGGATGATTCATAAATATCATGGTCCTGACCTAACATTTCACTGACCCTCCATTATGTGCCCACTTGGTCTGTTGCAAAACATGAAGATATTCTTTAGATTTACTGGATAAACTGTAGGTGACCCAGGTGTGACTAGTTGTTTGGTTGATTGTTATCCAGATAGACTGATAAAAGGAAGATATGACTGAGAATAAAACAGAGTGGCTGAAAAAAAATAGCAGGAATGAAGATTTTTCTTTTTTGCATGAAGGGTGGTTTTCCTCTTCCTTCTTTTTTTTTCCTTTTTAACTTTGCCCTCTTTTCCCTCTCCACCCCCTTTACAGGTACAGTGCTGTCAGTGAGAGCTGACACTCATTCTTTCTCTGAGGCTGAGGGGAAAAAAAAGAAGAGGGCATTACACACAAACCCCTCAGTGTGGAAGGCACTCAGTATCTCACCACATCATGACGACTAGATCTGCACTCCTGTTTCTGGCGGCCCTGGTTGGATCCTGCGCTCCATTCACAGGTAAAGTACAGGCCATAATGATATATTCACTATCAGTTTGACAGATTTAAGTACTTCCAATGCAAAGCTGCTCTGCTTCTTTGAAGGTTTGTCATGGTCATGTTCTCTCATGTTGGTTACTGCATGTTGCACCTAATTTAGCACTTGTGAGCCTTTTACCAAAATGTGGATGAGAATAGTTTACACTCTCATCTACACAGTGCCTGTTGCTTAAGTTTGAGCTTTCTCATGCATTATGTGATGTAAAGGTAACACTTTAAGGCCCTATACTGATATTTCATAAATGGTTCATAACATACTATAATGTAGTTGAATATAGCTTTAATACATTTATAAATGTTGATTAATGCCCAGTATTTGTCAACAATTGACATATACACTAAAAAACACTTATATCTGCTTACAACGACATTATAAAGTGTTATTAATCATTCATGTTTGATGTTTATGTACTGCTTATAAATGCTAAATAGGGACTATAAATAAGTAGTGTGGGTTTTTGAAAGAAAGTTTACAATGGGTCTGTTAGTTACATAGTTAGTTAGATATAAAACACCACTGTGGTCAAAGGACTTTGGGCTGCAAATGCAAAAAGAGTAAACTACAACAAAAGTTTATGACACCACAGTTTATTACACAGCTCTATGCGGCAAGTGGTGACTAAAAGTGAAATCAGTGAATTCTTCATGAATCAGTTATTGTTTAACAAAACAAAAGAATGAGCCATTATACCAAATTTTATTCACCAAATTACCAGTTTAGGGGGAAAATGTTATAGTTTTACTGCATTTTTAGCTGCATACTTTGTTTTTTACACTTGATTAACTGTTAAAAAAAACTTACCATTAATTTTTACTTTAGTTTTCAACTCAATATCTCTCCTGTGAGTTCATTTTGGTACTGAGTACAGTTTTTTTGTTTCTCATGTCACATTTAGACACTGTCAACACTGGTGTAAGAGAATATGAACCCTCAACAGAAATATCAGACAAGGTACTGTACTGTCAGTTAATATGCTTTAGTGTTCATTTAAATTAGAGTATGTACCAGTCATTTGCTCTGTATAGATACTGTGATAATGAGTCTGAGGAATTGTATTTCTGTTACAGACAGAAAGTTACATGCCAATACTTTGCTCACCAGCACCTGGCCCCTGGTCTCCGTCCTCTTCAGGTAGGCAGTTTCTCCTGATCTCTTCCAATTTGAGTTATTTCTGTGAATACACATAAACATCAGGCCTCTTATTTACTCAAATTCAAGCCCATTTCTCTAAAATACATTGTCCAGTGTTGTATCATAACTTTGCCGACCATTGAATTACCTTTTGTTTTCTCACCATCAGTTGATACTCTCAGACCTGCTGATATCTCAGCTGTTTACACTCTGGGAATGCCGTTCTCACACAGGTAATCACTGGACGTGACTTATCCAGTGTTTTCCAGAGCTGGAGTTTTAAATCTTTACAAAACTTAACTGTATCTAACAACATGTATGTCT